GTGCTTCATCTGACACCTCAGGAAGATACTGCCATCAGTCATACTTCATAAGTGCTACTGAAGCCCAGGAAATTGTATGCCCTGTCAAGAGACAGACCTAGTTAGTGGCTGAGCTGAAACTCTCTAAGAGGTTAGGTTTCAGAGTCGGAGATTACAGTGCTATGCTCTTCTCCTTGCCACAGAGTGACTGCCAGTGCTGTTCCTACACAAGCATCTTACATAGCTCATTGCAGACAGCGGGGTACCTTCAGGTACAACTAGGGTACACTTAAACATTAGCTTCCTTAGTGAGCTGAGCCTGTCATTTCCTTCCATTTACTCCTTTTCTCCTCCCCTCTTTATACTCAATTGAATTCCAATATCAAAATATTGACACCCCTCCCAGGCATCTAGCTGAAGACCAGTTTGAATTTTATTTATTTATTTATTTATTTATTTATTTATTTATTTATTTATTTTTTGGTTTTTCGAGACAGGATTTTTCTGTGTAGCTCTGGCTGTCCTGAAACTCACTCTGTAGACCAGGCTGGCCTCGAACTCAGAAATCTGCCTGCCTCTGCCTCCCAAGTGCTGGGATTAAAGGCGTGCGCCACCACAGCCCGGTAGCCTATATTCTTGACTTGAGTGTTTATGCCATTTTTTTTTTCTGGTATGTAACTTGGTGCAACCCATGCTTTTCATGTGTATGTGTTTCAATGAGTATCTGCTGAGGAAATGAAATTTTTAACTGTTACTCAGCCCATTAACCACAAGATCTTTGTATTGCAGCTTTGTGTGTGCTATTTCTCATTTCTGTATGGCTCAGTAGTTGGTTATGTCAGTGAATAGAGATAAGCTGTATTTGAAAACATGGTGAAAATACCTATGATCCAAGAATTTGGTGGGGTTTTTCTTTTTTTTTTTTCTTTTTTTGGTTTTTCAAGACAGGGTTTCTCTGTTCTCTGTGTAGCCCTGGCTGTCCTGGAACTCACTTTGTAGACCAGGCTAGCCTCGAACTCTTGAACTCAGAAATCCGCCTGCCTCTGCCTCCCAAGTGCTGGGATTAAAAGCGTACGCCACCACCGCCCAGCTGGTGGGGTTTTTCTATGAAGCATTTTTAAAAATAGCTGATTTAGATTATGTTACTTTGCCGGGCTGTGGTGGCACACGCCTTTAATCCCAGCACTTGGGAGGCAGAGGCAGGCGGATTTCTGAGTTCGAGGCCAGCCTGGTCTACAGAGTGTGTTCCAGGACAGCCAGAGCTACACAGAGAAACCCTGTCTCGAAAAACCAACCAACCAAACAAAAAAAAAAGATTGTTACTTTGGGCCATTTTATTGATCTTAAAGTGTTTTTGCATGCTGAAGCTTCAAATATAGGTCTTTTAAAAATCTCCTTGACATTGGTGATGGTTTAGAAGCAAATGTGATGTAAGCAGTAACTTTTGGTCAAATAACCTCTTAGGACCCTCAGTTTGCAGTTTTATTTTATTTCAAAGGATAAGCTGAAGCTTCTGTAGAGTCCATTCAGTTATTTCAGTGATGCCAGAAGGGTTTTGTTTTTGTTTTTTGTTTTTTGACATGAGGAAGGGTCAGCAAGATGGCTCGGCATATAAAGGCGGTTGCTGTTTAAGTCTGACGGCTTGAGCTTGAGCCCTGGAACTTGTATAGGAGAGAGAGAACCAATTCCACAACATTGTGCGCACACACACACACACACAGATACACACACATTAAAATAATAAATGTTTAAGTGAGATGGGACCAGTGAGATGATTTGGCAGTAAGGGTGTTTACTGAGTTTGGATCCCTGGACCTACATGGTAGAATTATAGAACCATGACACATCTGCGAACTGTCATATTGTCTCCCCATGTGTGCCACGGCATACTTGTACCCAAACACACATACACATGCATACACACACACACACATGCACAAAATGTTAAAAATCCTTGTAGCTTATTTATGTTCACGTATGTGTTTGTGTGTGAGTGGGAACATGGAGGCCAGGAGCTGTAGGTAAAGGCATTTTCCAGGAAACCTGGTTTGTTATATCAGTGTTGGGATCTGAAACCTGAGCCAATGACAAGGAGGGGCATTGTTTGTTTGTTTGTTTAGATTTATTTAATTTATATGAGTACACTGTAGCTATCTTCAGACACACCAGACGAGGGCATAAGATCCCATTACAGATGGTTGTGAGCCACCATGTGATTGCTGGGAATTAAACTCAGGACCTCTGGAAGAGTAGTCAGTGCTCTTAACCGCTGAGCTATCTCTCCAGCCCCAACAAGGAGATTTTTTAAAAACCTGTATTTGAAGTTTCAGTATACAAAAACACTTTAAAACCCCTGTTGGATTCCTATTAACACAGAGTGACTCCCAACCACCTGTGACTTTGGCTTCTAGGGATCTGATACTTCCAGGAGCATCTGTACTCATGTCCAGAGTCCACACACAGACACATAGATACATAGTTTGAGATAAATAAAACCTTTCTTAAAATAATGTCTGAATATAGAATTAAAAGAATCAATTTATGGGATTCTTGAAGTTAGTTATTTATGAAGAATAAAACTTGTAAACAATACTATCCTTTTGTCAAAAATACGGTCCTACACAGGCAGAGTGTGATGATGTATAAGAAAGTCGAAAGCAGGGCTGGAGAGATGGCTCAGAGGTTAAGAGCACTGACTGCTCTTCCAGAGGTCCTGAGTTCAATTCCCAGCAACCACATGGTGGCTCACAGCCATCTGTAATGGGATCTGATGCCCTCTTCTGGTGTGTCAGGACAGCTACAGCTACCTCTGCTTCTTAGTTTCTTTCCCAGAGTTATTGAGGAGTGAAATGAAAAGCCTGCTGGTCTGTCTGAACCTTTCCAGTGATATATACACGGGCAAGAAGTTATTTATATAATACGTTTTCTCCCATGTTTAAAAGTAAAATAACCATTCAGTTCCTTTTACATAGTTTTCTTTATGTAGTTTTATATTCTATCTCTTATGTCTTAGAGATTATTTTGCATCAATATATTATGTAGTTTTTAATAAAACAGGTTTTGTCAATATTGTCATTATGCTATATTTTAGACGTTATTTTCATATATGTATATGTATTGTTGATGTATATCATCTGCTTAAGCAGCAGGACATTCAGGTTTCTCCCTGACTCTTCCTGTTAATACTCCGTAAGCTTCCCGTGGAGTTACTACTATCTGTAGCTCCTCTCAGTGCTCCTCTAGTCTGTGGGTCATGTTTCCTTTTAGGGAATATGGGGGAGGCAGATTTGGCCTTTGGAGCTTGGGTTTGAATCCTCTGCTTCTGCCCTTAGTAGCAGTGTGATCTTGAGTGTTTGTCATTCAGTCCTGAATTGTAAAGAGAACCTAATATTCCTTTGCTTGGAAAGTTCTGTTAAGAATAGAATGGGTTAAAGTGCCTAACATATAAGAAGCACTGTAATATGTTAGCTGTCTTTATTGTATCATCATCAATTGCTCACCTGTCTGCTACCCATGCTTCTGCTAATCTCCTGATGGTTGCCTCAGCCTCCATTACCGACTTCCTCAGACCGTGGTCTCTCTGGCTATGGAAGAAGCCTCATTCTCACTTTCCGAATCTGCTCTCTGAGAGGATGTTTCCCAGTGCCCTAGTGTCTCAGGGCGTCACTGCTGTGAGGGACATCATGATCATAGCACTCTTGGAAAGGACAACATCTAACTGGGGCTGGCTTACAGTTTCAGAGATTCAGTCCATTATCAGCATGGCAGGAAGCATGGCAGCCTGCAGACAGAGAGTTAATTCTACATGCTGATCCACAAGCAGCCAGAAGGAGGTTCTGATTCCACACAGGGTGGAGCTTGAGCATAGGAGACCTCAAAGCCCACCTACACAGTGATGCACTTCTCCAACAAGGCCACACCTCCTAATAGTGCCGCTCCCTATGACCAAGCATTGAAACACATGAATCTATGGGGGCCAAACATATTCAAACTACCACACTTAGTGACACCCATCGAATTGCAGCTGCCCTCTCCCCAAAGCACCAGGGCTGTTTGCACAGCTAGAGCAGAGGTGGTGGTGAAGATTAGCCTCCCAACTGCCTGAAACTGACTTTCCTGTGTCTTTGTTGCTTAGTCACACAGTCACATAGTTTGTCTCGGTCAGTTCTTGCTTGCATATCCTTGTGCGGGATTTTTCCCCTGGAGGCTCATTTGCCATCTCTCCCTTTTCTTACCATGGAGAGTCTGGTGTGTATGAAATCAGCTGTAGGTTCTTTCTCATGAGCTCTCAGGCCCCATATAAATCAGGGTATGGCTTGACATCTGTGACTGCTAAGTCCCACAAACATTTTGTGTCAGGAGGCCAGTGTCTCCTGAATGCCAGAGGATCTCAGAAGAAAATGGACAGTTCTAGTCCAGGTCAGATGTCCATCAGGCTGGAGAGATAGCTGAGGCTCACAACCAGGTAGAATGCCCTGTTATTCCCACTTATAGTTAACATTTAAATAGCATTTTCCATTACAACCCAGTTTTCACTGTTATCTCATGTAACTGAGCCACACATCAGTATCTCATTTCATCTCTCCAGGTAAGAAACAGCATTAGAATCGTGAACACAAGATGGGGGTAGAGCTCAGAAGTAGAGTGTTTACCTGGTGTAGATGAAGTCCCGGGCATTAAACCATAAGGAGGGTAGGAGTGGGGCTTGCCTAGCATGTGCAAGGCCCTGGTTTGATCAGGTACACATACACGAGAGCGAAACATGATCATATCGAAAAGCATGAGCATGTCTCACACTCATACAGGTTACGTTCTTCCTTGTTTAAAAAGACTGTTTGACTCTTTAGTAGTTTATCTTAGTGTCATAATTAAGGGGTTTAATGTTAGATGAGAATGAAGTCAACAGTGTTGAATATTTTCATTTAAAATGAGGCCTTAATGCTCTAGGTTTGTATGAACTATAACCAGTTTTGTGTATAAATACACATATTTGTGAGTGTGTGTATGTGTGTGTATATATACACACACACACACACACACACACATATATATATGTGTATATATGTATATAAACATCTATGCATCCCAGACATGCCTATCTATGTTGGTTTTTCTCAGAGCCGCGATGGATACTGCCAGCCATAGCCTTGTGCTTCTGCAGCAGCTGAACATGCAGCGAGAGTTTGGTTTTCTGTGTGACTGCACCGTTGCTATTGGGGATGTTTACTTCAAAGCCCACCGAGCAGTACTTGCTGCTTTTTCTAACTATTTCAAGATGATTTTTATTCACCAAACAAGGTAAGAAGGGGCTTTTGTAAATGAGAAGAATTTTTTAATGTTGTGATATATGTCTTATCGTTTAAGGCAGTGGTTTCTCAACCTTCCTAATGGTGAGACCCTTTAATACAGTTCCACGTGTTGTGCTAACCCACAGCTATAAAATTATTTCTTTGCTATTTCATAACTGTAACTTTACTAACTGTTATGAATTGTCATATTAATATCTAATATGTAGGATTTCTGATAGTTGACCCTGTGAAAGGATTGTTTGACCCCAGAGAGGTTGAGAGTCACTGGTTTAAAGGCTTATTATTGGGTTATCCTAATACAAAATTTTAATTATAATAACATATATATAGGTGTGTGTGTGTGTGTGTGTGTGTGTGTGTATATGTATGTATGTATGTATTAAACTTAGTACATGGTGTCCATGGTAGAACATATTTAAGGAAAACAAGTATAACTTAGATTGATTAAAGGCTTAGCCCAGTCTGGTGTGAGGCTATATTCCTTTAATCTTACCACTCAGGTGGCAGAGGCAAGGGGATCTGTCAGTTTGAGGCCATCTTGTCTACATAGTGAGTTCTAGGCCAACCAAGGCAATCTAATGAGATCCTGTCTCAAAAAACCCACTACCAACAAAAAAGGCTTAGCCAATACCCAGTCATCAAGTCCTATAATGTAAATTCCACTGTTAAATTCCACCCTGGTGTCAGGGAAAAGGCAGCTGAGACTGAGCTGTTGAATGGGCCATCCAGGAGTAAATGGCTGATTAGTTGGGCTCAAGTGTAGATCTGAAGCTAACCTGTGTACCTAAGCACTAGGCTGTTGGTCTTTGATGTAGCATCACTTCAGTGACATGTCACCAGTCAGAGAGGGTTTTGCTTCACATTTTCTGTTTTTGTGGTTTTTTTTTACTTGTTTTGCATTTTTTGAATTTAGGTAGTATGGGAATTCAAATTCTGAGCTCTGGGAAAAGATTAATTTTAGTCTAGTCTAGGTGTAGACAATTCTAGAATCTTGCTTGCTTGCTCATTTGTTTGTTTATTTATTTATAAATTTTGAGATAGAGTCTCACTAAGTTTCCCAGGCTGCCCTTGAACTTACTCTGTAGCCCAGGAGGACCTTGAACTTGTGATCTTTCTGCCTCAGCCTTCTGAGTAGGGAGAGCCATAGGCCCAAGCCGCCAGACTTAGTTCTCTGTGTATTTGGTGGGTTGTTGTTTTGTTTTTAAAAGACCTTACATGAAATTGAGGTGTCAGATCCCAATTATGTATTTTTTTATTTAACTGTTCAGTCAGTTAAATATTTCCCTTTTGTTTGTTTGTTTGTTTGTTTTTCGAGACTGGGTTTCTCTGTATAGCCCTGGCTGTCCTGGAACTCACTCTGTAGACCAGGCTGGCCTCGAACTCAGAAATCCACCTGCCTCTGCCTCCTAAATATTTCCTAAGTACATACATATTAGAGATTGAGCTGGAGTATGGTTATAAGTAAATTATACCCTGTCTTCAAGAACTCTGTAGTCTGATAGAAATGAATGTAAAGCGAATAATTGATCTGTCTTGTGTTAGTCACTCCCTGGTGCTGCGACAAAATCCCTAAGAAAACAGGATTTGTTGTGCTTTCAGTCTCAGGCCTTAGACCACTTGCAGCTGGCTGGTTCCCCATTACTTTAACATTGGGAAGGCATGAGATACCTTGAAAGAAGGCATAACAGAAAAGCTACCCACTTGGTAGTAGGCATGCAGAAAGCAGGAACAGCAGTGACCAGAGACTAGACAGACAGCCCTGGCAGGCGTGTACTTAGTGACTCTTCTTCCACCTTGGCCCCATCTCCTAATGTCTTCTACCTCCAAGTAATGCAGTCACATGACATTGTGATTCCATGACTGGAGAATACACTGGTGAAGCCAGAGTCCTTGTGACCTAGTCACTTCCCCGGAGCCCCTCAGCTGGCCACCAAGGCTGTAAGATTGCACACCTGAGCCTTCAGGGGGCATTTCAAGTTCAAAGTCTAACACTCAGTTCTCCTGTCTGTTAAATGCTACATGGTATTTGGGTATTCAAATATTAGTGACATTAAAATGTTTGGAACAGAGCTTTGCTGATAGTAATATGGTGTCAAACATCAGGTATACTCAGAATAGAAGAGTTCTAGCAGGCCTGTTTTAAGAAGTTTGCAACAGACTTTTCAAATCTGAAAAATCGAGTCTTTGAGATGTTGCAGAGGAATATAAGGAGAAGTATTACAATTGGAAGGGAAATAGCATGGATCACGGTTTGGTCCATAACTTGTATGTATCACTGTTAAACTCAGTACATGGTATCCATGGTAGAGCATACTAATAAAAACGAGCATAACTAAGATTGATTAAAGGCTTAGCCCAGCCGGGTGTGGTGGCAATGCTTGTAATCCTAGCATTTTAGGTACAGAGACAGGAGAATGACTGTGAGTTTGGGGCCAGCCTGTACTATACTGCAAGTGCCAGGCCTGGACTACATACTAAAACCCTGTCTTAAAAAAGAAAAAAAGAAAGAAGGGGGGGGGGAGTGGCACACGCCTTTAATCCCAGCACTTGGGAGGCAGAGGCAGGCAGATTTCTGAGTTTGAGGCCAGCCTGGTCTACAGAGTGAGTTCCAGGACAGCCAGGGCTACACAGAGAAACCCTGTCTCGAAAAAAAAAAAAAAAAAACCTACACCTACTCCAGCAAGGCCACACCTTCTAATAGTGCCACTCCCTGGGCCAAGCATATACAGACCGTCCCACAAGCAGAGATGATATAAAACGCAGATATGATCATTCAGACGACAGAGTAGATAAAGTGGCTAGAAAATGTGGTGTGGTACAAAGATGGGGTTGGAGTGAAGTCCTGCTAGACGTCTGATGTGACGTTGTAGATTACACTCACCACATTACAAATGCTACCTTCCTCTCAGTCTGCTCTGAGCTCTGAGTTGTTCAGCTTCTAGTGCTAGCTAAACACAGGCATTGTGAAGGCGAGGCCTGCCTTGTCTTGGGTTTGTATGATCAGACACCTTCAGGTAACAGAATTCTGAATTTACACCCCCAGAATGCCTGTCATAGGACATGCTGGTGAATAGACAGAGCAGATCAAAGAGTGAGACCTGAGAGAGCAAGCAGTGATGTCGGGATGAAGGACTAGAGAAACTAGACTGTCAATATGCTGGCTCCCAGAACAAACTGCTTCAGGGAAACAGTCCACCAACACTGCCCACTGCTTCTTCAAGTGCATCACCCCCTTTGGTGCCTCTACTCTAATTTCACAGAGTGAAATTATCACTATCTAGTAACCATATTGACTTTGAAATTACTAGGATGCTTGTCAGAATTATACCTGTATTCATTTGTGATTTAAAGATTTTAGAAGCCAAATAGCATCATTTACATTTTAAGTGTTAACAATTTCATTATATACCTTTAAAAATATAAATATTTTTGTTTGGTTTGGTTTGATTTTGCTTGTTTTGGTTTTATGTGTGAACTTGAGTATTTTGCCTGTGTGATGTGAACTGTTGTATGGGTGCTGGAAACTGAAGCCAGGCCCCCTGCCAGAGCAGTAAGTGCTCCTAACCACTGAGCCATCTCTCCAGGGCCCTGGTTTTGGTTTTCAGAGGAGGGTTTCTCTATAATTAGCAATTTTAAATCTTATGTCACCTGCAACTGTCACTGCTGTTTCTAAAACCTTTTCAGAAAGGTTCTAGAAACACTGTACCTAGTAAGGAGTAACTCTCCGTTCTCCTTCAGCCGCCTGTAACCACCCTTTTTAAACTGTGGGTTTCCCCACCCCACATGTCTCTGTCCTTGTCCCTTGTATATGGGTGTGTGGCCTGACTGATATATGTGCCCCCCTTGCACACCTGGTGCTCACTAACCCAGAAGAAGACATCAGGTCCCTTGGAATTGGAGTTACAGACAATTGTGAGCTACCATATGGGTGCTGGGAATCAAAACCAGGTCTTCTAGAAGAATAGCAAGTATTTTTAACCACTGAGCCCTTTGTCCAGCCCGGTGTAAGTGTTGTCTTAGATATTTTGTCCTTTGTTCGTTCTGTTTTTTTGTTTTTGTTTTTCCAGAGAGGGTTTATTTATCCCTGGATGTCCGTGAGTGCTGGGATTGAGGGCCCAGCTTAGTTTTAGCTATTTTGTGGATGTGGTACCATACAATTTTTGGCCTTTTGTGTCTGTTTTTTTTTTTCCTTAGTATGTTTCAAGAGTTCAAAGTTATAACCCATTCCAGAACTTCCTTGTTTGTATGGCAGAATGACATCCATGATGTTCCAGCCTGCTATGCTTACCCATTGTTTCTCTTTCTCTTTTATTTTTCTTTTATTCTTTCTTTTTTGAGACAGTCTGTCTATGTAGTTCTGGCTGTTCTGGAAATCTCTATTTAGACCAGGCCGTCCTCAAACTCAAAGAGATTCACCTGCCTCAGCCTCCCAAGTGCTTGGATTAAAGGCTGCACCACCACACCTGGGTCCATTCATCTTTTGATGGGTATTTAGTTGTTTTCAGCTCTTAGCTACTGTAAGTAATGGTACAGTGAACACCAGCATATAGGCATCCTTTCGAGTTTCTGTGTCTAGTTCCTTTCACTATATGATCAACATGAAACCAGAGTGCCTCTTTCAATCACTATTCTCTCTGTCCTCTCGCACCTAGAATAGACTGCACTGCTTAGGAGTCACCTGGTGTTGAACTATGAACATCTCTGTGTTTCCTGCTGTTAGGCAATAGGTTGAACACACAAAGCCTTGTTGATGAACCATAAAAGCAGTTCAGTTCAAAGAGTGATTTTTGCTGTTGTATTTCATCAAGGCAGATTGTCAGATTTAAACCTCTAAGGAAGAATTTGTTTTAACCTAAGACTGTTGGAAACCAAAAGGCCAACTAGGTTGTATTTCATTTTGTGTGGGTTTGTTTTTGTTTTAACAGTGAATGCATAAAAATACAACCAGCTGACATCCAGCCCGATATATTCAGCTACTTGTTGCATATTATGTACACAGGAAAAGGGCCAAAACAGACTGTGGATCATAGTCGTTTGGAGGAAGGGATCCGATTTCTTCATGCTGACTATCTTTCTCACATTGCAACTGAAATGAATCAAGTGTTCTCACAAGAGACTGTGCAGACATCCAATTTGTATGGTATTCAGATTTCAACAACCCAGAAAACAGCTGTCAAACAAGGGCTGGAGATCAAAGAAGCTCCTCCCAATAACAGTGGAAGCAGAGCTGCGGTCCCAGGGGACCACCCCCAGCTGCAGCTCTCCCTTGCAATTGGGCTAGATGATGGTGGCGCAGAGCAGCAGAGGGCCCGTCCTGCTGCCCAGGCCTTGGAGGAGCACCAGAAGCCCCCAGTGTCCATCAAACAGGAGACATGTGATCCAGAGTCTGTGATCTCCCAAAGCCACTCCTCATCCTCATCAGAGGTGATTGGCCCCTCTTTTACAGAAAACAGTATCAAAGTCCACTTATGCCATTACTGTGGGGAGCGTTTCGAATCCCGAGGTAACCTGAGACAGCACCTCCATACCCATGTGTCTGGATCTCTCCCATTTGGTGTCCCTGCTTCCATTTTGGAAAGTAATGACCTCGGTGAAGTACATCCACTTGGTGACAGCAGTGAGACTCTTGAATGCCGGAGGCTCAGCTCCTTCATTGTCAAGGACAGTGAGCAGCAGCAGCAGACACCGCCTGAGCTCTCGAGCAGGGGTACCTCAGAGCCGGTACAGATCAGTCAAGTATCTTTGATCTCCAAAGACACAGAGCCAGTAGAATTAAACTGTAATTTTTCTTTTTCAAGGAAAAGAAAAGTCAGTTGTACCATTTGTGGTCATAAATTTCTTCGAAAGAGCCAGTTACTGGAACACATGTACACACACAAAGGTAAATCCTACAGATATAACCGATGCCAAAGGTTTGGAAATTCGTTGGCCCAGAGGTTTCAGCAGTATTGTGACAGCTGGCCCGACGTCCCCTTAAAAAGCTCTCGCTTGTCACAAGAACATTTAGATTTGCCTTGTGCCTTAGAGTCCGAGCTCACACAAGCGGGTGTGGACACCATCCTGGTGGAGTAGCAGCTGTTCCTGCAGAATTCTTAACTGATCTTGGAAGAGACTCACGTGCCGTTTCTAATCATAAGTTAGTAACCTCCTCGTGGTCTTTTGACTTAAAATAATCTGTCCCTAGTTTTGAGGTTATACGTATCAGTTCTCATTATAAGACATGGGTATTAAATGTAACTTTCAAATTATCCTATGAGCGTTTTTATAAATTGAATCATAATTTGAAAATCAGAAGTTAATGTAGAAACTTTAGAGTGAGTGTTATTTATAAAATGTCTTGTTTTTCCAGGTTGCAGAATCAGTAAAATGAACTTGAATAAGAAGCAGATAAGATCTGTGTTAAAGACTTTTAGAGACTGAGTGGAACGCATCTGTAGAGTGCTGCCTAGCGTGTGTGAGGAGGCCCTAGGTTCAGTGGTCAGCACACACTCACACGCTCACACACAAACACACTTCTAAACCGTCACTCGGCTTATGTTTTATAGGAATTATGTTCTTAGGAAAGTGATTTTTAAATATTTTCTGCCATATAGGAAATCAAGAGTTATTTTAATGTATAACTATATATAAGAAATAAGTAGTTATTTTAACGTAAAACTACATATTATAATGTATAAAAAGTTTGTTTTGTTTTAAGACATGGCTATACCAAATCACGAGTAGTTTTAACTGTACTTTAGCATTCTTACATGTCCTTTTATTTACTAAACATCAAGTATACCTCATTTTTAATAAAACTATTTCAGCTAAAAGGAAGGACTGGCGAAGTCAGTGGTGAAGAAGTCTTGAACAGAGAATGCAGTGAATTCACATAAGTGGAGCACAGCTCCAGGTCTGTGTGAACTAACCCTGGTGCAGATAGGCAGATCTGCAGTGTGTCGTAGACACTTTCAGATGCCTAGAGCAAGAGGCTCACCGAGGTTTGAAGAGGAGAATGATAAGACACACGTCATCTCCCTGACTTAGTGTTGCAGACTTGTCCAGGCTATCTGGATTGATGACAGTTTTCTAACAGTCAGTCATAAAGGTAATTTTTTTTTTACCTTTTTTTTTTTTTTTTTTTTTTTGGTTTTTCAAGACAGAGTTTCTCTGTATAGTCCTGGCTGTCCTGGAACTCACTCTGTAGACCAGGCTGGCCTCGAATTCAGAAATCCGCCTGCCTCTGCCTCCCAAGTGCTGGGATCAAAGGTGTGCACCACCACTGCCCGGCCTATAAAGGTAATTTTACAGTGGCATGGCTTTCACTTTTCTGTTAGTAAGACCAGTGGAGCGGGTGCATTGAGCATTGCAGGCCTGGTTACCAGTGGAGCGGGTGCACTGAGCATTGCAGGCCTGGTTACCAGTGGAGCGGGTGCGCTGAGCATTGCAGGCCCGTTTAAAACCCAGGCCAGCAGCTCTGCTTTAGTGAATACACTCACTTCCTTTTATAGTGGCAATCCTTAGAAACTTAAAACTCCAGGAAAATGGAAGTTGTTGGACTAAGTGATGGATTTTCTGTGCCTAACAAGTAGCCCAGCAAATTACATTGTTTCCTAAGTGTTGTTTAAACTTGAAGTTCTCTTCTCAAGGATCAGAAGGCAAGACAGACTGTAGAACACCCCACCACCACCACCACCCTATTAAAGTCTCAGGCTCACAGACACTTGAAAAACATTTGAGTTGGTCCTGGCACACATACCCTCTTCTCAGATTGGAAATAAGAGTCCTGCTATGTTCCCAGGTTGGCCTTAAAAATCTTAAAACCGTTACTTTTTGTCACATCTGCAAAATGGATCCCCTTCTGCTCCCCTCCCTTCCCCCCTCCGCTGCCCTCCTTCCCCCCATCTCTCTCAAGCAGTATGGTTTGTGTAATGGCTGCCTAGTTGAACCGGAGTTGCCATATGTACTTTGTTGCCAAATGTCGCCCTCTTGTGGTGAGTAGTCTGCTGGGTAACGATTTTGAAGGCATGGTGGAGCAAGCACAGTTCTTTTTTTTTTTGGTTTTTTGTTTTTGTTTTTGTTTTTTTTCGAGACAGGGTTTCTCTGAGTAGCCCTGGCTGTCTTGGAACTCACTCTGTAGACCAGGCTGGCCTCGAACTCAGAAATCCGCCTGTCTCTGCCTCCCAAGTGCTGGGATTAAAGGCATGCGCCACCACCGCCCGGCCTGCAAGCGCAGTTCTTAGCAATGGCTGTGTGCTAGGTGGAGACTAAAGAGGTCTCTTCCACTTGGGCCAGCTTTAAGTCTTCCCTTCTTTATAGATCCTGCATGGAGGTGTTTTCCGGAGAAAATCAGAGGCCGTTTCAGCATTTGTTTTTGGTAGGAATGCTCAGTAAATGCAGTCTGCTTCACACACTGCATTGTTCTTTTTAGTATATAGAATGTTTGAGGTGGTTATGTACTTCTTCCAGCCTACCTCCCAGGGCTGTTGTGAGGCTTTGCTCTAACATGGGCTGGTGGGAACCAGAGCAGGAAGCGGCTCCACAGCTAACCCTAGTCAGTATTCCATCCAGTAGATTCTAGAACATGTGTGCAGCACTCAAGCAGTGCTTAATAGATAATTAATTGAGAAAATCAGTTTTTATGAAAATGCGCCGGAAATAGGATTGCTACCTGAGTTCTTTCTCTTCTGTAATTTCTCTCTACTGTTCAGCAAGGAAGATGGGGTTTGACATTATTGGAAAAAAAATATGCCAATTTCGGCATTAATGAAACTTTCCTCCAGAATACATTATTTTCATATGTGAAAAGGAACAAAGAAATAAAAACCCCACTGTTTCTTGGATGAAGACAGTCTAAGTAATAAGTAGGGACAGGAACCGGAGTGAGAATTATCCATAGGAACTCACTAACGTTCTTTTGAAGTAAAGCTGGAACGCCTTCTCTGAGCACTGAAGGAAATACCTGCTAGTCATGGCGAGGAGAACAAGCCGGAAAGCGGACAGTTCCTGAAGCCTGTTGGCACAGGCAGATTCCTGACTCTGAAACTTGGATTCCTGATGAATACTTGATAGGTATTTTTGTGGTATCTGTGCTAAAAATAGTTTATGTGGAAAATGTTTATACTGTAACCTGTGTCTTTTGGTATACTTAAACTAAATATGTCTGTGGTGTTTCATTAATAAGTTGTTAAATTCCTAGGAGTGAACTCTAAACGTTTCTGTGCTCAACCATGCTTATGTAATTGGTCTTTCTCTTTAATCTGGTATGTCCCAGTCTTTTTTTGTTTTTGTTTGTTTGTTTGTTTGTTTGTTTGTTTTTGTTTTTCGAGACAGGGTTACTCTGTGTAGCCCTGGCTGTCCTGGAACTCACTCTGTAGACCAGGCTGGCCTTGAACTCAGAAATCCGCCTGCCTCTGTCTCCCAAGGGCTGGGATTAAAGGCGTGCGCCACCACCGCCCGGCTGGTATGTCCCAGTCTTAAATCTGGACGTCTTAAATGCAGGTGTCCAGAACTGGCTCTCATCCTAGATTGGAGGAACCCCTGGTGCTCGGTGTGTTTGTGTGTTTCTGATTCCTCAGATTTATCCTTCAGCACAGCTGCCATTGGCCCCTCAGTCACGTCAACAGAGTAGGTCAGAGGAGAAACTTCACCCAGCATTCAGGAATCTGAAGCGCTATGATTGAGTTTAAGGCCAGGCTGAGCTGCGTCTTAAAAACTTAAAATAAGGGTCTGGAGACATGGCTCAGTGGTTAAGAGCACTGGTTGCCCTTCTACAAACCCAGATTTGTTCTCAGCACCTGTATCAGGCAGCTCATAACTCCCCGTAACTCTTGCTCTGGGAGGATCTAGATCTCGGATCTCTAAGGTACCTGCACTTGTGTGTGCCATACCCATGCACAGATACCCATGGTTAAAAATAAGCCCCAGTTAAACTTAAGAGCTTACGTAACAAAAAGGCCTAGTGAGGAAATCGTCAGATTATCAGGCATACACAGCAAATGGAGGACGATACACTGTAGAGTTATACTTCCATGCATCCGGAATATTCTACAGAGTTTTGTATCCCAGTTTGGAAACTTGTCTTTCATCTGTTTTATGAAGACATAATGTGATTTGATTCAATGCAACAAAATACTAGCTTATAGACCTGATCTTTAGAGCATTTTCTGTCAGCGTCACCTTTGTTGAGGTAAGTAGTCTCTGCTGGGTAACTTTTAAAACTCTTTTTTTAATCTCTGTGTTTTTTCTGAACATACGTATTTGCACCATGTGGGTTCCTGGGGCCAGTGGAGGCCAGAAGTGGGTATCTGACGTAGAAGTGGAGTCGCAGGTAGCTACAGGTCACTCTGTATGTGCTGGAAACTGAATTTGGGTTCTCTCAAAGAGCAAGGGATGCTCTTAACCACTAAAGCCATCTCTCCAGCCGCTCTTAAATTGGGCATGATGCAAAAGGCAAGAATGGACCCAATTCTTACCAACCACAGCCTGTGGCAAGAGAAAAAAAAGCGTGTCCTAATCCAGAAAGGCCCAACTGAAAGAAAGGGCTAGTCATTTCTCAGGGTTCTTGGTGTACTTTTACTGTCTGCTTTATATTCTGTCCTTCTGCCCCCAGCACCATTATCTACAACAGTGGTTCTTAGTCAGGGTGTATTAGGATCTTCAGAGAAAAGAATACGGGAAAGAAATAGGCAAGTAGATCTGTTCCGCTGACTCAGGGCTGGTGTGGTGGTACACACCTGTAATCCAGACACGTGGAGGTAATGACAAGAACAACTCTGAGTTCAAGATAAGCCAGGTCTCCTTAGCGAGTGCCATGCCAGTTGGGGCTTCATAGTAAGACCCTATCTCCCAAAACAAAGACACAAAAATAGAAAATATGACCTTGATTCTGCCTTTATAGAGACAGAATTATGAAGAGCTACACTCTGCAATCTGAGTGCCTGGAAATAACTGGTGTAATTCCATTGTAAATCCAAAAAAGGTAGAACCAGGAGAACCACTGAGACAAATTCCAGTTTAAAAGCTGGCAAACCCAGAAAGATAGGATGCTCGCATTTTTGCTCAAAGTTAGGAAAAGATGCCTCTCTCAGGCAGGAGAACGTTGGCTTTCTGTGCAGGCCATCAGCTGGCTAAATGAAAGCAGTCTATTTTACTCACACTACTAATTCTCATGCTACTCTAATCCCCAGATAACCACCACCAAAGCCAGACGTGATGGCTGACATACTGAGGTTTAGAGAGTTAACTGAAGTGGGAAGACCATCGGCGT